AGAGACTCTCTGGGAAAGTTTCCAGCACATGACCGATTCATTCTTAGCGAAAATGAAGCTCAGCACTAACTCAAGAACAAATGAGAAGCAAGCACTAACATCTTGGAAAAGCCCTTCTGATCCGTCAATTGGAAGCTTCACGGCGAGTATTGATCCCCGAAATATTCCTGAACTTTTTATTTGGAATGGCAGTTCTCTGTATTGGCGGAGTGGTCCATGGAATGGTAATATATTCATTGGAGTACCTGAGATGCAATCATTCTATATTAATGGGTATAACTTGGTGGATGATCACGAAGGAACAGTCTATCTGACTTACAGTTTTGCTGAGGCGTCTTATTTGTCATATTTGTTATTGAAATCAAATGGTGATTTGGTGCAACCACGTTTGGATCAGAATAGCAGTTCCTGGGGGATTGTTTGGTCATCTCGGGTGAGCGATTGTGATGTCTATGGCCAGTGCGGACCATTTGGAATGTGCAATGCCAAGACATCACCAATTTGTAGCTGCTTGAGAGGCTTTGAGCCTAAAAACTTTGAAGAATGGAGCAGAGGAAATTGGTCCAGTGGATGCATTCGGAAGTCATTGTTGCAGTGCAATGGAACTACAAATGGTAGCAGTACAGCCGGCAAAAAGGATGGATTTTTAAAGCTAGAACTGATGAAAGTGCCAAATTCTGGAATTTTTTTTTCTACTCTTGAAGCCGATTGCCCAGGAAATTGCTCAATTGATTGTTCATGTGTAGCATATGCATATGACTCTGGTGTCGGCTGCGTGCTCTGGAGAGGAGACCTAATTGACCTACAGAAGTTCTCCATTGGAGGAACAACTCTTTACGTTCGGCTGGCCCACTCAGAACTTGGTAAATTAACTTTACTCTTAGATGATGGTACTTGTCAATTTGGTACTGCAGCTTATGTTTAGATGGATCAATACCTTCGGCTCGACTCATTCTTCAAGACTTGGTGGTTTTGATTAACAAACCAACATGCGCACACACGTGCACGCTCAAATATAGACTCGATCAGGGTCTAATATGGAACCCTGATAAAGGAACAGATATTTGCATATCTTCTTGACTATGACCAAGTCTCATTATTAGCTATAAAAAAAGTGTTCCAAAATGATTCGTTTAGTAGTTGCTTACTAGCAGCATCAACATAGTCTGAGGCATCAGTTTATGTCTCCGTTCTGATCTCCAGATGAAAAGAGACATCTGAGAGAAATCATAGCAACTACAGTCATCATAGGAACACTCATCGTCATCATCACAATATCGTTTGCCAGGAGGAAGGCGAAAAAACGAGGTAACGAGTAATGCCGCTGTTGAATCTTGGAATTGCCAATAATTTCTGAGTTTGCATGGATTAAATAACAAACATTGTTTGCCGGATCAGCAGTAAAGGAAAGCAAGGAAAAACATTTGTCCAGTGGAGAAGCCCCTTTTGTGGTTTCTAATGAAATAATGCTTGGAGAGAACTTGAGCAGAGTTGAATTCCAGGAGTTTATGAAATATAAAATTGAAGAATTAGCTGCAGCAACAGGAAACTTTGGTGAGGCCAATAAGCTTGGACGGGGTGGTTTCGGGCCAGTATATAAGGTATAAGTATGCATGTAGAGTTAAGTATAATCAATGTAGGTGCGTGTGCGTGTGTTAACTTTAGTGGCTCATTTAGTCACTGTGTACAGGGGAGACTACCAAACGGTCAGGAAATAGCAATCAAGAGGCTATCGAGAGCCTCAGGACAAGGGCAGCAGGAATTTATGAACGAAATGATGGTCATTTGTAAGGTCCAACATCGAAATCTTGTTAGACTTCTCGGATGCTGTGTCGAAGGAGATGAGAAAATGTTGATCTATGAATTCATGCCAAACAAGAGTCTAGACACATTTCTTTTTGGTAATATTTCGCTTATTTCAATGTTGCCTCAAACTATCATTTATACCATATATCCGGAAAGCCTCATTTGTTTAGTTAGCCATTTGAACAGGATTGGACTGCTCTTTCTGTTTGGTTTTGAACTTCTGTGCATTTCACTCTTTTCCAGTTGCAAAAATGAATTTTTTGCATTAAACTTCTATGTCTATTCAGATCCACTTAAACGAGTACATTTGGATTGGAGAACACGGTTCAACATAGTTGATGGTATTTGTCGAGGTCTACTTTATCTTCATAGGGACTCTAGACTAAGGATTATTCATAGAGATTTGAAGGCAGGCAATATACTGCTGGATGAAGAGCTCAATCCAAAAATTTCCGACTTTGGAATGGCTCGGATATTTGGGGGAAACGAAAATCAAGCCAATACACGAAGAGTTGTGGGAACCTAGTTAGTACCTCTTTAATTTTGATGTTCCTAGTGATTTTAGGCTCTACTCATAAAAAGGAATCTGAATCTGTATGATGGATAATGCAGTGGTTACATGGCTCCTGAATATGCAATGGAAGGGCGATTTTCGGAAAAATCAGATGTCTTTAGCTTCGGCATATTATTGCTGGAGATCATAAGTGGAAGACGAAACACTAGTTTTCATGAGGAAGATCAATGCTTGAGCCTTCTAGGACTGGTAAGCTCTCATTGATATAGAAGTTGGAACTGGATTCTATTCTCATAAACTGGGACTCCAAAAGTAAATTGACTTGATTAATTTGCAGGCATGGAAGTTATGGAATGAAGACAATGTACTAGCACTAGTGGACCCAAACATACCTGTGACATGCTTTGAGGTTGAGCTTTTAAGGTGCATAAATGTGGGGCTTCTTTGTACACAAGAAAGGGCAAAAGATAGGCCTTCCATATCAACTGTTATTTCAATGATCAACAGTGAAATTGTGGATCTTCCTCGTCCGAAGCAACCTGCATTCACCGCGAGGAAACTAACCCAAGACACAGATTCCTCTGGACAAAGCCAAAAGACATGCTCTACCAATGACGTTACTCTTTCCGTTGTTCAAGGCAGATGACATGATCTGAATATTTGCACAATTCTCACTACGTGTCCTGTTCTTACCGTTTTGAGTTCGACTGGTTTTATTTTTACGCAATCTTGTTTGGAAATGTATAGAAACGCAAAACATGAACTATTTTTTCCACATTACATTACAGTTCTTTACCACACATATTTGTGTCATCAAAAGTTGGCCTTCAAATATTGGGAAAATTCCAAAAAGGGGCCCGAAGTGGAGTCATTTTCTCAAATAAAAGCCTGAAGTGGACCTTGACTCAAATAAGGTTTTGAAGTGCCATCATTTTCTCAAATAAGGGCCTGAAGTAACCATATCAGTCTCAAATAAGGACCTAACATCACTGGCCAAAGGGTATTTTCTTCTTTCACTTTTTTGAATTCGTTCTTTTTTCCTTTTTCCGTTTTTTCCTTTTCCTTTTCTTTTCTTTTTTTCCTCTCTTCCCTCCGTTGGCCATCGCCGGGGCCGGCGAATGCCGCCCTCGCCCACCCAGCCCAGGTAAGGCGACCCCCGCCCTCGCTTAGGTCGCCCTTCCCGACATCGGGACTGGTCGCCTCACTTGGGTTGGGTGGGCGAGGGCGACCCTCGCCCAATGTCGGGGAGGACGAACCTCGCCCAACGCTGGGGAGGGCGAGTGTTGCCCTCGTCGGATCCGACGAGGGTGACCCTTACCGGATGCGGGCTAGGCGGCCCTTGCCCGACGCCGGCGAGGATTGCCCTCGCCTGAGGTCGGCGGAGGTCGGCGGCTAGGCAGAGTAGCACCGGGAAGGGAAGAAGAAAAAGGAAAAAGAAAAAAAGAAAAAGGAAAAGAAAACGAATGTAAAAAAAAACAAAAAAATATACTTATAATTTTTTTTGACTAAAATAGCCCTTCTCCGGCGACGGAATAGTCACCGGCCGGCCAAAGGTCCTTATTTGAGACGATTTGACAACTTCAGGCCCTTATTTGAGAAAATGACTCCATTTCGGGTTCTTATTTGAAAAAAATAACTCAACTTCGGGTCCCTTTTTGGAATTTTCCCTAAAATATTTGGTAACTCCCGTTGGGAATAATGCTTCTACTTCTCATCTCAGGAGGCAGTGGTTTAGATAAAGTTCTGGAAAAATTGCAAACGGCTCCCCTCCACTGTGGGGTGAATTTCAATTAGCCCCTCCAAATGTTCGTAACTACACCTTGACATTTCTATATGTTCCAAATTAGACTCCAAATCTTAGCAACGCTGGAAATGCCCTCAATTTTGCAATAGCCACAAATGTTCGCTAACGTTCATCTCGCATGATAAATTCAACGACGTAGCTCGCTCAAAGAATTAAACTAATCCAGTTGGTTAGAAAGATATGGTTTATTTTATTCAACACTGCAATCCTTGTGGATTGATTGTAAGCAACTGGAAACAAAGTGCGTGGAAATGTTCATGAATCTACAAAGAAAGTGGCAATTCAAAAAAGGCAATTGGGGCCACAATTCTGAATGAAGGCAACAATCTAAAATTTCCATGGCATGCTCTCTCTGACTGGTAATCCTCCAAGATTCAAATGCTTTTTCTACAGTTGCTCTCATCGGCCAAAAATCATGATGTAGAAACTCAAGCACTTAGTTAATGCTCTCACGTTGGCGTGCTAGGTCAATATTCTTTTCTCATAGGTCAAGGTGTGGTGACACTTTAAGAATCTCACTATGAGGAAAAATAACAATGTCGATAAGAGAAAAAGAGGAAAGTGGTCTGATTAGAGATGTTATACCCAACATGTGACTCAACAGTAAAGACCACCACGTGTAAAACTTTTGAAAGGCCAGTTTAAGCCACTAGCCGGAAAAAACAGGACAATGACAGCAATAAGTGATGAGGAAAACTGTCATTAGAGCAGTATAAATTTCTTCATGGAGATGCTTAAACCATATTTTGCAGATTTACCATTATCTTCAACCACAGGGTTTGCTCTCAAATAATTGTGATTTCCACCTTCAGTCCCAACTTCAGGTTGTCTTCTAATGTTCTAAATCAGTTGTTTCTGAGAAGAAAAATTCAAGTCATGATCTTCCTAGGAAAAGTAAGAATATTATTTCTCTTTATATTGTCATGTTATGTTGTGAAATTTTGCATTGGAGGAGATGTCATTACAGCTTCTGAGTACATCCAAGACCCTGGAAGTATCATATCAAGCGGAGGTCTCTACAGACTGGGATTCTTTAGCCCCAATGGTTCTACCAATCGGTATGTTGGAATTTGGCATAACAAGATTCCTGCGTTTAATGTCTTTTGGGTTGCGAACAGGGAGAAGCCTGTTTCAGATTCTAGTGGTGTCATGACCATATCCGATGACGGTAATCTTGTAATAATGAATGGAAAGAAGGATGTACTTTGGTCATCAAACGTTTCCAATTCTGGAGCTAATGCAGAAGCCCAATTATTAGATTCTGGAAATCTTATCTTGCTCAAACAAAGTTCTAACACAAGCAAAAATGATACAGAGATGGTATGGGAAAGTTTCAAGAACATGTCTGATACATTCATGGTAAAAATGAAGCTCAGCACCAACGTGAGAACAAATGAGAAGCAGGTACTCACATCTTGGAAAAGCCCTTCTGATCCATCAATTGGAAGTTTCTCAATTAGTCTTGAACCGCTAAATATTCCTGAAGTTTTCCTTTGGAACGGCACCACTCTATCTTGGCGGAGTGGTCCTTGGAATGGTAAGGTTTTCATCGGAGTTCCCCAGATGGAATCAGTCTATCTTGATGGATTTAGCTTAGTTGATGATAAAGAAGGAGCTGTCTATCTGACTTACAATTTTGCAGAGGTGTCTTATTCGTCATACTTTTTTGTGAAGTCAAATGGGGAGTTGTTGCAGCCATTCTGGGATGAAAAATATAAGCATTGGCGGATTGATTGGTCAAGCCAGGAGTCCGAATGTGATGTTTATGGCAAGTGCGGGCCGTTTGGATTCTGCAATGCCGAGAAATCACCAATTTGCAGCTGCTTGAGAGGCTTTGAGCCTAAAAGAGTTGAAGAATGGAGCAGAGGGAATTGGTCCAGCGGTTGCATCCAGAGGTCATTGCTGCAATGCGACAGGATAAAATATGGTAGTACTAAAGCAGGAAATATGGATGGATTTGTAAAGCTTGAGAATGTGAAAGTGCCAAATTATGCAATCTGGTCATCTCCTTTGGAAGACAAGTGCCAAGAGCAGTGCCTCAGTAATTGTTCATGTGCAGCATATGCTTATGATGCGGGTCTTGGTTGCATGTACTGGAGGGGAGACCTAATCGATGTACGGAAGTTTTCCTATGGGGGAACAACTCTTTATGTTCGACTGGCCCATGCAGAAGGAAAACGAGATCAGAGAGCAATTATAGCGGCTGCAGTTGTTGTGGCAACAGTTATTTTCAGTGTTGGTGCTTTCTTCGCCTGGAAGAAGTCAAAAAAACAAGGAGGTAAAGACGGAGAACAATTTCCAGAGGCTTCTAGTGAGAACATGCTTGGAGAGAGCTTGAGCAAAGTCGATCTCCAGGATCTTGTGCCATATAAATTGGAAGAGCTGGCCGCAGCAACAAGCGACTTTAGTGACACGAACAAGCTCGGAGAGGTTGGTTTTGGGGCAGTATATAGGGTAATACGTTGTTGTGTAGAGGACCGCAGCTCCGTTTTTTTTTTTATCTTTTTTTAATTTCAGCAGCTCATTTTAAGTCCTTTTGTGCCAGGGAGACTGTTAAATGGAAAAAAAATAGCAGTCAAAAGACTATCAAGGGCCTCAGGACAAGGACTGCAGGAATTTATCAATGAAATGGTCGTGATTTCGAAGGTCCGACATTGAAATCTAGTTCGACTCCTTGGATACTGTGCCGAACAAGATGAGAAACTATTAATCTATGAGTTCATGCAAAACAAGGGTCTAGATGCATTTCTTTTCGGTAATATTCCATTTTTTGCAACATTCCCTCGATCTATCATCAAATACCAGTCTATAGGGAAGTCTAATTTTTAATTTTAGTGGTTTAAACAGCATCTGGCTGTACCTGTAGCACATACTTCACATTTTTGGTTTACATGGGAACCTCTTTCTTTGCATTTCACTCTTCTCCATTCACAAAACTAACAAATTATTTATGAATTTCACTTCTCTTGTATATTTCAGATCCGATCAAATGAGAGCAACTGGATTGGAGAAGACGGTTCAACATTATTGATGGAATTTGTCGAGGCCAACTTTACCTTCACCGTGACTCCAGACTACGGATAATTCATAGAGATCTTAAGACGAGTAATATCCTGTTGGATGAAGAGCTCAATCCAAGAATTTCAGACTTTGGAACGGCTAGGATATTTGGGGGAAAAGAAGATCAAGTAGATACACTAAGAGTTGTGGTAACCTAGTAAGTATTTCTTATATTATGAGTCTCATACTGATTTTATCTTTCTACCTAGCATAACGATTATGAAAGTGTTTCATGGAATGCAATGGTTACATGACTCCAGAATATGCGATGGAAGGGCGGTTTTCAGAAAAATCAGATGCCTGTAGCTTCGGGGTATTATTGATGGAGATTGTAAGTGGAAGACAGAACACTAGCTTCAATGAGGAAGACCAATCCTTGAGCCTGTTAGGATTGGTAAGCTGTTACAAACAGGGAGATTACCCTATTTCCATCAACTCAAATTCTCAAACTAATTGGACTTGAATTCTGTTTTTTGGCAGGCATGGAAATGTTGGGAGGAAGACAATGCACTAGCCCTCTTCAATGTTTTGCGGGGAGGAGAGGCTTGTGATCGCAGGGAAGTGTCGGGAGTCTGGGAAAGAGAGCCCCTACCAGCGATCTTGCCAAGTATGTCCTCAGCCTCAAAAGCAAAGAGGTCATCTCAATAGCTCTTCCACCAGTTGCCAAAGCTCTTAAGAACACTCGGAACCGGTGCAAACGACTTTACCACATGACCCTTTGATACTTCTGAGATGATCCAGCGACAGCAAATGAAAGGGTCAGATGTTTTGGTGACTGCGAATTGACGCTTCTCATTAAAAGGGAAGTCCATGGAATAGGGGGCAAGAATCGGCAAGAATCGGGATACCGTGCGTCAATCCAAATTGCCAAGCGCAGTATTGAGGAGAATATACTTCAACCCCAGATTTCAGTTTTCCCTTTAGAGGCGGCCTCAGTGTAAGATCGGATGCAACTAAAACAGAAAGCCAGAATCTCTAGGTATCTTTAGAGCGAGAGAAAGAGAAGATATCTTGGAAATCTAGGCGGGAAAGTGAACAGAAGTCGCTATCGCTTAACGAAATTTGGTAAAACCAATGAAGATAATACTTGAAGGCAGTGTTTCCTTTAGTAATGGGACGCAAACGGAAGCTCAGTAGCCGGGCTCCTTCGCTGTTTGGAAAGTAAGGTACAGCCTTGTGTCCCGAAGGAAGCTGAATTCGAGATTTAGAAAACAAAGATGGAAAATACAAGTGAATCCAAGCTTGGAGAATCCAGAAATGACCATGAAAAACTCTTGAAGTTGGCTCACCCATGTAAGTAGACGCGAAACCCAAACCTCGATATAAGGCGGTCAAGGCCGAACGCCCCATGGCGATGGGTCTACCTTTCGACAAGTGGAAGGCCAAACTCCTCAGCTCTTTTGCCACCTGAAGCGAGGGATGGAAAAAGAGGGGCTTGGACAACTAGTAAAGAAGGAAAGTGATATGTTCTTCTTCCTCGATATACCCCTTCCGAGAAGCGTACTCACTCATAACACGAGCATATGAAGGATCAGCAGTCTTAAGGAAATCTGGATAAGAGGAGAAGCCAAATAGGTTGGGGTCTTCTCCTGAAGGGCTTAACCCGGAGATGGCATAAACATCGAGAACGGTTATTGACATGGGACCCGATTGAAGAAAAAAGCAATCAGCAGACGGAGACCAAAAACAAACAAGGGCGCCTAAAAGCCTAGGGTTTAACCTCCAATCAAAGGTACAAAACTCAAGGGCCTTGTCAATCTTAGCTTTTCGCCATATCTCGAGCATAATAGGCTTGAGCCTGTTATACCATTCAAAAAAGATAGGATCAAAAGGAAAGAATGACCTGAGCCTCTAGGATGTGGACATCCAGACGTAGTCCACAATATGCTCTTTCTGAAACGGAAGAAGCTCGGTAGCATGCCGAGGGAAACAGTCGGAAAGGAAAGGTGGAGGACATGGAGTCCAAAAGACACGGACCCAAAACGATCTCCTCGTTGGCCTCTGAAGGGCAGTTTTGCAGCGACAGGAAAACGTTGTCTGCATATGCTAGTGATTGAAGCTGTTTGAAGAGACCCAGGTAGGTCAAAAAGTCGGGTGTAGAAGACATGGTAGGACCAGGGCAGAAGAAGAAGGTCGACGATGGCAACAGAAAAAGGATAAAAATCTGATCTTGGAGCAGCTGTCAATGGCGTCGAGAGGAGCTTAAAAGGCGCTTGGGATTGAAGCCCTAAAAGATATCGAACTGCAAGAAAGGATTTGGGGATAGAAATGACGCATAGCGCGAATCCAGAGGATAAGTATTAGCCAATACAATCGTCAAACCGAATTCTTTTAAAGGAGGCATTTGTTGGCTCTCAAATTTGGCTGATTGGGCTAGAAGGAAGAAAGAAAACCTCAAGCCCAAATCGCAAAAACAACGGCTAGGGTAAGGAAGTTGCATAAGGCCCAATACACAAGATACCGAAGACTCGGCATCAATAACCGCTCGAGACGATAGGGTAAAGATAAAAACAATTACCCCACTTGGTGCCGACAGTACTGCGGATAAGAGGAAACGGTTATCGGGAAGGAAGTTAAACATTTCGGAACAATCTAGAGTTGAGATGATAACTGCTCGACGGCGGTTATTGATAAGCAATAGCTATAAATAGCCGAAAAGCAGTCATTGAGGGGACCCTTTTTTGCAAAAAACACACTACTAAACCAGTTATCTTTGTAATCTTGTTTTATCCAATTGTTATCGTTAATTTACCTTTTATTGCACATTTTGTTTTATCTCGTGCACCTTTACCTTTATCGTCATTAGAGTAGATTTCGTCGCTTCCTTTTCGAAACGACACAGGACCCGGTTACTCACAAAAAACCGAAGATATTCCCCTTCATTGAAAGATTCTTCATCCAAGGCCAATCTCTGCGAAACAGAACTCAAAGCATCCTAACCCCGAAAACCTACCTGACAGTGCTCCGCTTCTGTTATCGTTCTGTGAAAAATATTCAAATATCCCTCATTCAAATTAAATTAGTTAACTCCGAAACTTTCATAAGTTAAATTTTAATGAAATAAACTGTAGAGTATCATATTTGTTATTCATTATTAGTCTTGTTCTTTTTGTTTTTGTATTAGTAATTTATTGATTCGTGGCAAAACTCGATGTGGGAGGATGTTCAGTTGTGAAGAACTGGGTTTCGATGAATTTCAATCTGACAGCCTAATGTTGCCACTGCTAGGATACACGCACACAAAGATTTATGTGTGGAATTAATGCTAATTCATTTTTTCTTATACACGTATCAAAATGTCATGACAGTTCTCTATATTGATGCTTGGTTTGACATTTTACTCCGGTATGATCAGTACCTACCGTGTAATAGCGGAACTACATCTGTTTGATAAGGAAGTAAGTTTACATTTGTCTTTTTTTACTTTATTTCATAAGGGCATCGGACTAGAGGAACTACTGGTACTTACGTTTTTAGGGTCACATCAGCCGAGTAGGAAGTTCTATTTAGAGCGTTTTAATGACGATTAAATGTACCGAAACGGTTCTCGCTCGAAATGATTCTTTTTTTCTGTGCCAGGAATTGATTACGAGCATTTTAAGGCGTTTGTTAACGGCCCAAAATTCCATCCCTGGAATAGAAAAAGAACAGAAATATGTTTGGTAACGCCACAAAATTTCTTTTTATTAATAATATTTTTAAATATTTTAATATTTCTTTCTTTTTTTCTTTTCTTTTTTCTTTTCCTCCTTCTTGGCCATGGCACGCTTCGCCCCATGGCCGGTAAAATATTTTTATTAATAATATTTTTATTAAAAGTATTTTTCTTTTTTGCCATGGCACAGTCGCCGACCATGACCGGTAAAATATTTTTTTATTAATAATATTTTTATTAAAAATATATATTTTATTTTTTTGGCCATGGCACAGTTCTGTATGAGCCATGGCCGGTAAAATATTTTTTTATTAATAATATTTTTATTAAAATATTTTTTTTTATTTTTTTGGGCCATGGCACGGTCGCTAGCCATGGCCGGTAAAAATATTTTTCTTATTAATAATATATTTTTATTAAAATATTTTTATTCAAAATATATATTTTTATTTTTTTCGGCCATGGCCTGGTCGCCGGCCATGGCTGGTAAAATATTTTTTTTATTAAAATATTTTTATTAAAAATATATATTTTTCTATTTTTTGGCCATGGCCGGCGATCCGGCCATGGCCTATAAAATATTTTTTTTATTAATAATATTTTTTATTAAAAATATATATTTTTATTTTTTTTTGCCATGGCCTGGTCGCTGGCCATGGCCGATAAAATAATATTTTTTATTAAAAATATTTTTTTTTTCTTTTTTTACCATGGCCTGGTCACCGGCCATGACAGGTAAAATATTTTTTTTATTAATAATAGGGTTAATACCACAAAAAACCCTAAACTGGTACATGTGTGACAATTTTACCCCGAACTTTTTTTTTTACCACCAAAAACCCCAAACTGGTACACCTGTGATAATTTTACCCCAAACTTTTTTTTTACCACCAAAAACCCCAAACTGGTACACTTGTGACAATTTTACCCTGATCTAAAATTTTAATATTAATTTTTTATTTTTTCGAATTTTTATTAATTTTTTTGCTTTTTCTTTTCTTTTTTTTTTCATCTTCAACCTTTGGCCGGTCGCCGGACCGGCAACCGGCCAGAGGCGGAAGCCGACGAGGTCGGCCCTCGCCCGACTCCAGCGAGGGTCGCCCTCGCCAGATCCGGCGAGGGCAGCCCTTGCCCGACTCAGGCGAGGGTCACCCTCGCCCGACACCGGCGAGGGCGGCCCTCGCCAGCAGCCGACGGGGTCGACCTCGCCGGCTTCCGCCTTTGGCCGGTCGCCGGACCGGCGACCGGTCAAAGGTTGAAGATGAAAAAAAAAAAGAAAAGAAAAAAAAAATTAATAAAAATTCGAAAAAATAAAAAAAAATTATTAAAATTTTAGTTCAGTAAAAATTGTCACATGTAATACCAATTT